TTTAATATCATCGATAGAGAATATTTGTTCATAGTACAATCGTATTTTGCAGATCATTCTCGTTTGCTTATTCGCATTCGGCAGAAGTGCCATCGAATCCCCGGAATCGAAATCAACTACAAAACTGCCGTTAAACAGCCCCTCGATCGAGGATAATGACAAAGATTTAATCACTTCTGCCAGCGATCGAAGTAAGTGCTATTGTATATTACTATGCAAAATATATTATAATTATTATCCATATAATAATACCATAGTTTGAAATACTAATTCGTTGTAAAAAAAAAAAAGATCATTCTTTGCCAATTGATCCATTTCATTTGTCACAATCTAAAGTTTATTATATAACGTATTTCAAAGAAATCCAGTCAGATTATGTTAATGATAATCATTCTTCGAATATTATTTTTATCCATGTATGCATGTAGAAGTAATAATTGAGAAAAGAGGAGGAGGAAGAAGAAGAAGAAAAAAAATCTAAAAAATAAGTATCAAAGGATACTTATAACTGCATAATTGCATCACAGCTCGCGATCTCGTAGACGGCGAAATTACGGTTATATCTAGGCATGATCGATCGTTATCCAACTTATACACTTTTTCAATGTATTAAATAAGTGTGTCACTACCGTTCCCACGATCGACCATTTCAAATGGATTTCATTGTAAAAAATATGACATTCGATATAATAACATGTTAATGTGACGAACCGAAGGTCTTCCTCTGCCTGCATCTTTTCTAATGACGTCTCCGCGGTGTTCCGTGTTAGATCATTGATATAATGACTCAACAACAAAATTTGCATAAATGACGCGTGCCTTGCTTTCAATTATTCAAACGCTTCGAAGATCTCTCTGCCGATGTTTGATTTAATTTATTATTATTAGATCAGGGTGAATTTTAGTCACGCGAATCAGATTCGCATGAATTAGAGATTAGAGAAAAATTAAAAAATTTTGTAAGGAATTAAAAAAATAATTTGATTAAATAACGAAGGTTCAATCGCAATTCCTTTTCATTGAGAATTATTATTATGAAACGTGTTATTTATATTGTTATTACGCTAATTATTTTGAATTTCGATGCACGAAGATAAAGTTATATACACATCGTAATATCATATTAATAAATCACGTATATTTTATTGATTATAAACATCATGCTTTTCAATTAATCAATTAATTGAATTCAAATTACTGAATAAATTAATTTGATAATTTGAAAATTTTGTCCCATCGCATGATAACCGATGATTCATGACAGCGTCATTTCCGCCACCATAGAGGATGGCAATGCGGATAGAGGATATGCATGTGTGAAAAAGCGTTCCACCGTTCACTAACGCTTTTCAAGGCTCGACTGATTAGCTATTCTTCTATACACAGTGCGAACCGTAAAGCAATCTTCGCGCATATACATTTCTTACGTTGCAAAACTTTATTATTTGCTTTAAATTCTGATCTGAAAAAAATTTCCTTTTACGTATTTTAAGCAGATACGTTATTCATTCTATCTAGAACAATGTACATTTTATTTTAATAGTAATAAATTTTAAGGACACAAGTTTCAAAGAATTCTAAATCAAAAAAACTCGTTTCGACAAACGTTCTTAAACTTTATTGATCGGAAGAAACTGCTTAAATTTTCGACGATTTTCGATACACAACATGTAGAAACAAAACGTGTATGTTACTCTGTGTGAACCATTCCCATAAAGTAATCATAATTGCCTTGTAAATTATAATGCTTGATAGAGATTATTCTTCTTCGTCAATAAATATTAATTATTTGCGCGTAAATCATTAAGAACAATCACAAGCTCGAACAAAAATTTAAATCGGTGATTAAATCGTTTAAAAAGAATGTTATATCAGAGAAGAAATTGATCGAAAACATCGATTTTCTTGAGTTACATTGATTCCAGCGTTTCACATTAGCAAAGAATATGGGCAACCTGGAGGGTATGGAGGAAGTAGTCCATATGGAAGTTATCTTGGTCTTAGCGGTTCGATTTATGGCCCTGGTACTGCGTATCGTGGAACAAGCTGGAGCCCAGGATACCTAAATCCGAGCTATGGAGGTTATTCAGCGGGTGGCTATCCAGGTGGAATTATTGGGGGAGGCCATATAGGGTGAGGCTTGCGCATATAAACGTGTCACGCGATTGACTTCTAAGAAACTGGGTTGTGGAATAAAGCTGAAATGATCGATGATTTTGCAATATCGATTATATTAAAGAAACGATGCTCCAGGATGCTTTGACGAATAAATTCACACAACTTTTGAATCGTATTTTCGATTATGCTTTTTAATTTTTACGCGAGAAATAATTTTGTTGAAATTTTATTGAGTTAAAAGAATATTAGATCTCGAGTATTTGATCTAATATATATCTTGAGAAAATTCTTGACAGCATATTTTATCCAACGAGAACGATATTGCGCTTGTAAAAGTGTATTATGTTAATCGTGTAATAACAGTAATTGTATATCTTTCTTATAATCCTAATTTAAAAAGTTTATTCTAGAATACGTTTCAAGATAAATAAGATCGAGATATCTGGTAAAAGTGAAAGAAAGTTAAATTAATCTAAAAGTACAATTCGGTCATATGATCAATAATATAAAATTTTTGTACTATAATACAAATGTAATATTTGTTTCCATTATATTATCGTTAAGAAGAACTTCTTCTCTCTAATGTTCAATTCATATTCGAAACGTTGTACGTGTTAGTCTCTAACTATCCACCGTATCGAACATTCATCTTCAATATCGCCCTTCGTATTTGCATTATTGATTCTCGCTTCAAAATTTACAAACATTTTAAAATCTATGTAATAATTAAGCAACTCCGCTATTCGACTGTATCAATTCTCTCTCGCTTGTTTGATTCCTTTTATATTTAGATAAATATTTCAATCTCAATTTTTTTTTTATATATATATCAGATATGGCTATTATGGAAATCCTGGATACAACAGTGGTTATGGTGGTTACGGTGGATATGGTGGATATAGTGGATACGGTGGATACGGTGGATACAACAGTGGATATGGAAGCACATTAGGCTATGGTGGTTATGGTCATGGTGGATATGCACCCGGTGGTTATAGCGTCTACAATGATGGATATCTTGGTTACGGAAGAGGTAACTACGGATACGGAACAGGATATAGCGGATATGGAACAGGGTATGGTAACGGATATGGAGGATCAAGTTATGGATCATCGTACAATTTGAGAAATAATTACGATCCATATGGATATCGTAATACTAATTATGGAAATTATGCCGGTTATCCATCCGGTTATAGAGGTTATTCTTAAAGTCTATCTTTGAGAGTTGGACGAAAATGAATTGTAATATTTTTTTATAATATTTTTTTTTATCGTTGTCGTTTCAAGGAAGATATTGCAAGAAGACGTAACAACAGTATTTGCCAATACCAGTTTAACTATGTATATTAGTTTGTTAATCTTTTAATTAACTCGATAGATTGTAATTTTGTATTCGTATCAATAATTTTATGTAATTTATATGTATATTAATTAATAATGATGAATAAAATTATGATTCGTTTAAAGTTATGAGGAGTGCAGAAGGGTTTCTACTTTAGAATTAATTGTCTTAATCTGATTAAATGTGTATTGAAAAGATTTGAGATGTTTCATGATTAGTTTTATTTAATAAAAAAAAATACATGATTAATGCTTATAAGGAACATTGGATGAACGCAATATCAATATGTACAATTATATATAATTTATTAAAAATTTCGTCGGCCTCTATGCTACAGAAAAAGATACATATTACGTATCTTATATCCAATGTACAAATATAATTATTTCCTTAAAATATCGAGCACGTACAGTTAAATATTAATTCAAATTTTATAAAGTATACCTATAATTTGGAAAATGTGTCTCAAATTTTTCCAACTATGAACCATTATTCTGTACATGCTCAATAGAACGTATTAGCACTTGTATAATCAATATTTAATCTCAAGCGTACATTAAGCATGAGAGCGCAATGGATGATTTCATTTCTCACGACGTTCGCATAATTTTGAATCTAAAAAAAAATTTGTATAATTAATTTATATCAATTTTCACAATTTTCAATGCTCTCAACATCGAGGGAAACGAAATAGTATTCTTGAAATTAAATACTAAGCAATATAATAATTAAAAAATAAACTAAATATATATATTTTTTTGCATTATTATAGCTATTAAAAAAAAGATTTACGAAAACATTTAAATTCAACATGAATACAAATTTTGCATAAATGTTCCCAAATGTGACAAAAAATATAGATACTAATACTTTTCCTTGCATTAACTTTAAGATTATTATCATTCTCGTATTCATTTTTGCTAATATAAATCTTAATTCAGTATAGAATATTATTAATAATTTAGTGCTTACAAAAACCATAATAGAATTAATAGAATTAATAGAAAAATAGAAACGTCCAACGTTCAAGGTTTTACCAATTATCAAATAAGTTAATATCCAAATTAAAGCAGAGAAAAGTAAAAAACAGACACGCTCTAATCGGCACATTATCTTTGGATAATCACAATCGAGCGTTCTAAAAAAAAAAAAAAACTGTTAGTATTGATGTACAATAAGTTTCAAATCCCTGAGTTCTAAATCCTAAGAAAATTGCATCCACAATTATATAGATTGTCAATCAATAAGAGAGAAGGCAATGATATTCGATCAATTTCTTACAATCAAGAACTTAAAACTATCGTTAGAAGTTCTTCTTTTAAGATTTATCGCAAATCGCTTATAACATTCACAACTTATTATTATCTTTTACCTGATTTTACAAGAACGCACAGATCATGATTACCTTCTGCGAGACGATGATTTATCCTTTATTGGCTTTCGTGTCTCCTTTTGGCCATCCGTCAGCTGTCCAGCAGCTAATGGACGGGCACCGTTTGATCGTTTTACGAATCGTTTCTACGCGAACGCGTGGCTTCTTTCGAGTAACGATTTACAATCCGTGTGTTGCAATCGCACTCTTCATTTGACGTTCCGTAGCTTTGCCCTTCTCCTTTCGATTTGACCGCGTGCTGAAACATTTAAAAAGCCAAGTTTCGCTTGCCTCAACGCCTCGCGAAGATTCTCTATATTGCCAAGCTGATTTAGGCTGACAAGCTTCGTCTCGACTCTCCCGTTTTGAGAATCGCATGCGTCGCATGCATATGGGACAGGCATTGCGGAGGGGAACATGTCTTTCATGTTTTGGGTGCTGTCCGTCACATCGTCGCCTGGACAGTACGGTACGAACACCACGGGAATAAAGCCAAGCTGACCAATCAGGGGAATGGATGTCGTACTCGTGATGGTTGCTGTATTGTTACTCGGCTCGACAAGATAGCAGGGACAGGTTTGTGGATCTGGCCCTATAGATTGCTGGTAGGGCTTGGTGTTGATCGTGTTCGGTGGATGAACGCCGATCGCGGCGAGCTCGGGCTTTGATTCGATAGATTGCTCGGACAATTGGTTTACCTGTTTCGCGAACGCGATATGATTTCCATTTGGTGGTTGATGCTTTACATTGGCCTGTTGTTCGCGATCTGTCTCTATTTGAATAACCGGTTCACTTATTTTAGTGACTTCTTGGGGATATTTACGATTTTCGCGGGAACCTTGGAATCTTCCTCGACTAGGGTATTTAACGCCACTAGTGGTCCGAGAAGTTTGCGATATCATTTTTTGAACATCCTCGTATTTACTTTGCTCTTCCTCTTCTTTATATTTACGTGATTCTTTTCGTCGCGTGTATATCAAGGAATTAATTTCGTCCGCGTTCTGATTCACTTGTCCTGACTGATAACCACGCGTTCTTGATTGATCTTTTTTGAACTGAGCATCCTTTAAACCGAAGGGGCTGCTTATTTTTGTTGGATACGCTAACACTGTGGACTCAACATTTTTTTCGTAATTTTCGTTAAGAGTGTAGTTATTAATATATTCCGAATTGTACTTAGATAATCGATCTACTTGCTTCTGACCAAAAAATGGGTGATTATCGATAGTCGTTGGCGTTGTAGGTTCGTAGTATTTAATAGGATATTGAACTTTGATTGGCCCTTCATATCGAGGTCGTGTCGTTGGAGCAACACCAGGAACATAATCCGGATCACCAGGCCATGGTCCATCCGGACCAGGGGATCCTGTCGGCCATGGGCCATCAGGACCAGGCGGTCCATCACCACCTATTCCTCCTACTCCACCAACTGGACCTTCGGGACCACCTGGACCTTCAGGACCACCTGGACCTTCAGGTCCGGCTGGACCTTGAGGACCGTCAGAGCCATTAGGCCATGGACCGTTAGGACCATCAGGACCTATGTCACCAGATGGACCTTCAGGTGTGAGAGGATATCCTGGGTATGGCGGATGTTCGGGTTGACCTAAAATTTAAATGTTATTTCTTTTTTAATATTGTTCAAACTTAATAGAATTGAATAAAATACTTAGATAAAAAAATATACAAATAAATTTTACCTGGCTTCGAAGTACCAGGATAACCATGATGACCCGGTTTGATTGGTCTACCAGGTTTACCAGGTTTATCAGGTTTACTAGGTTTTCCAGGAATACCAGGTATTCCTGGCATCCCAGGTATTCCAGGATATCCTGGCTGTCCTGGACTCCCGGGTGATCCAGGTTGACCAGGATATCCAGATTGTGGTGAAGTTCCAGGATGTCCAGGATGTCCAGGATGTCCAGGATGTCCTGCTTGTCCTGGTTTTCCGGCTAATCCAGGTTGACCAGGATATCCAGGTTGTGGCGGAGTTCCAGATATTCCAGGATGTCCCGGTTTTCCAGGTGATCCAGGCTCACCAGGATATCCAGGTTGTCCAGGATATCCAGGATGACTAGGATATCCAGGTTCTGACGGACTTCCAGGTAATCCAGATGTTCCTGATGTTCCGGGTGTTCCAGGTTGCCCAGGATATCCCGGCTGTCCTGGTTTTCCAGGATATCCAGGATGACTAGGATATACAGGTTCTGACGGACTTCCAGGTAATCCAGATGTTCCTGTTGTTCCTGGAATTCCAGGATATCCCGGCTGTCCTGGTTTTCCAGCTGATCCAGGTTGACCAGGATATCCAGGATGTGCTGGAGTTCCAGGTATTCCAGGTATTCCTGGTATTCCGGGTGTTCCAGGTTGGCCAGGATATCCTGGCTGTCCTGGTTTTCCAGGTGACCCAGGTTGCCCAGGATATCCAGGTTGACTAGGATATCCAGGTTGACTAGGATATCCAGGTTGACTAGGATATCCAGGTTGACTAGGGTATCCAGGTTGACTAGGATGTCCAGGTTGTGCCGGAGTTCCAGGTATTCCAGGTATTCCAGGTGTTCCTGGTTTTCCGGGTGTTCCAGGCTGGCCAGGATATCCGGGTTGTCCTGGCTTTCCAGGTGATCCAGGTTGCGCCGGAGTTCCAGGTATTCCAGGTATTCCAGGTGTTACTGGTATTCCAGGTGTTGCTGGTGTTTCTATTGTTCCAGGTTGGCCAGGATATCCCGGCTGTCCAAGTGATCCAGGTTGACTAGGATATCCAGGTTGTGCTGACGTTCCGGGTATTCCAGGTATTCCAGGTATTCCTGGTGTTCCGGGTATTCCAGGTTGGTCAGGATATCCCGGCTCTCCTGGTTTTCCAGGTGATCCAGGTTGCCCAGGATATCCAGGTTGTGCCGGTGTTCCAGGTATTCCAGGTATTCCTGGTGTTCCGGGTTCGCCAGGATATCCCGGCTGTCCTGGTTTTCCAGGTGATCCAGGTTGCCCAGGATATCCAGGTTGTGCCGGTGTTCCAGGTATTCCAGGTATTCCTGGTGTTCCGGGTTCGCCAGGATATCCCGGCTGTCCTGGTTTTCCAGGTGATCCAGGTTGCCCAGGATATCCAG